GGGTAGATCGTGACAGAATATTAGAGAAACTGCAATTGTTACAATAATTTTATAGAGCTGCGGTGGCGCAGTGGTTAGAGTGCAGTACTGCAGGCTACTTCTCCTGACCACTGGCTGCCAGCAGTTTGGCAGATTGAATCTTACCAGGCTCAAGATTGACTCAGCCTTCCATCTTTCCGAGGTTGGTAAAGTGAGGAGCCAGATTGATGGGGGCAATATGCTGATTCTGTAAACAGCTTAGAGAGGGTTGTAAAAGCATTGTGAAGTGGTATATGTCTAAGTGCTATTGCCAAGTGCTAAAGGAACTAAATACTGGGGGAGATTAGAATGGCCTTTTTCTTGCCAGTCAGTCCATAGTTGGGTGTGTTTAGATCACAATTTCTTCCATCAACACTTGATTACTATAGTGAGTCACCACAGTCACTTTATTTCTTCTGTTTTTCATGCAGTGATTCCTAAGAGTCTTTATGTCTTTATTCCTCAGAGTCTTAATGACTATCATTACATTGTACCTTATGATTAATGATGAATGTATCTTTTCTTTTATGCACACTGAGAGCATATCAGTGTACATAGACAAATTCCTTGTGTGTTCAATCACACTTGGTTAATAAAGAATTCCATTCCATTCCATTCTATTCTATTCATTTGTAGTTTTTATTCCTTTCAGCTACTTTGCCTTGTACCTTCACCTTCTTTATCCTTCAACAATTAAGGTAGTTCTCAATTTACCACAATTGGGACCTGTTAAGTGATGCAATTGAGTTGCATTCAATTATGCAATCATTTTGCCATGGTCGTTAAGTGAATTCATCTTATCTCATTGACTTTGCTTATTAGAAGTGCCCTGGGAAAGTCTCAAATGACAATAGATGACCCTTGGACACTGGAACTGTTGTAAATGTATGTCAGTTCCCAAGTGCCTGAATTTTGAGCATGTGACTGGAGGGATGCTGTGATGATTGTGTAAGGACTGGTCATGTTATTTTTTCATGTGCTGTCATAACATCGGATGGCTATTGAATGAATTGTTGTGGGTCAAGGACTATCTGTAGATTCTAATAAACTGTTTCTCCAGAAGAAAGGGATATAATTTGCTTTTGAGTTACTCTCTCATTATGACCCCCTCTCTCCTTTTCTGGACTTTTCCAAAAGTATATTCTCATTTACTTTAAATTGCTCCTGTCCTATACTGATATCTTTACACCAACTTAAGAACTTGTGTAGATTGGGACAATATGCAAGACCTTGCAAGATTTGAACAGCAGGCAACCACATCCTTGAATTAGGCAATTTTCCTACTGCTGGGAACTCCCACTTTCCATTCGAGGAAATAAACTGCCAATCTCTTTTTCCCGAGAGTGGATTTTCCTGGATATACAAGTGTGTACTGAATTTATGTATACAAAGTCAAAGTATCAAAATGCACACATAAGTAGGCACAAGCTGATGAAAAAATATTCCCCACTGTTTCTAATTTTTAGATCTCCCTTTATCGCAAATGTTCTATCCCAGTGCCTGAAAGCTGTATGGGTTTGGATGGGGAGGGAGATATTCCACCTTTCTATCCAGGATTGGCTTGCACTTCCCTCAAGTGTGTGTGTGTGTGTGTGTGTGTGTGTGTCTGTCTGTCTTCAAAAGCAGGTGTTAGTTGTGGCAAGGAAGTTCCAATTCCATCTGGTATGTCAGTTAACACTTTCCAAAATTTGGGAGCCTTTAGATAGTTGCTCACACCCTAGACACCTCACAGCTTGACTACCGCAATGTTTTCTACATGGGGCTGCGTTTGAAGACCACCCAGTAGTTTCAACTGATCCAGAATACACAAGCACTAACAGTATGATCATGGTTTGTAGTTTATTTATTAAACTTATATTCTGCCCTTCTCATCTAGAGGTATGCCATGTACCATTTCTGCTTCACAAGCTGCCTTGATTGCCAATCTGCTTTTAGATGCAATTCAAGGTGCTGATTATTACCTATAAAGCATTACTTATATGGCATAAGGCTCTTACTTGAAGGTCTACCGGTCTCCCACAACATCACTCTAGTCAACTTAATCCTGCTTGGTTGGTGCACTCTGGTTTCCTTGAATTAAACATCATCATCGGAACCCTGGAAGCATACCTTCTCTGTAGCAGCACCTGCTGTCTGGAATGAGGTTTCTTCCCTTCCTATCACCCAAGATCTGGATGGCCCCCAGTTCTGTTCTGATTTAGAAGAGCCATGAAGATGTGGCTCTTCACCTTGTCCTTTGATGAGGGAGAGGGAAGGGTGTCACATCCAGCTCCCAAATAGTCTTTATAAATTGCCACAGCTAGACTATTCCAGTGCCAAACCATTGTTTGGAGACTGCTAACAGTATTTTGGTTAATTCACATTTTTAGCAGTCTCTGAGGAACTCAGAGGGCTTCTTGCATGTGGGCTTCTTCTGAATGCAGTTTTCCAGCTACTAGCTTTAGAAACATATGTTTGCACAGCCAATTCTCAAGACATATAGAAACTTAATTGTACACATTTATCACTGTTGATTAGAAGCAAATATAAAACAGAATTCTATACATACACACATACACACACACACATGCACCTACCTACCTGCATGGAGCATCCCCAACCCAAGCCCTGCTATACCGCCTCACTGTTGTGAGATGGAGGAGTTCCTGAGAGGATTGAGAGAAAAATGTTGAGAGTATATGCCAAAAATATGTTCCCAATGGGATCACCCAAGGTATAAAGATCACAAAGATAGTGAGTGCATTGAAGGGGGATATGAACTTGGGATATCCCTAGTTTTAGTTAAAGACCTTAATCACATTGTTTGGTTTTTTAGATATGGTACCAGCTTTTATTGAATAGATAATAGAAGAGAGATAAGATTGTTTATGTAGTTTATCCTAATACAATGCACATTTATATGATTGTGAGCAAATCAAGCTTTGGATAATTCAAAAAGTAAGTGCCCTTCCTTTGTTATGAGCAAACTAAGATTTTAATTAACATTTGACAAAAAAGAGCGCTTAATATATAATTCCAATTTAGAGGAAGAAGGCGGGGCTTAGCAGTGAGAAGACGGATTTTCAGGCTATTCCTGAAATTCCTCTATTCCAAAGGAATTGGATGGTTCATTTTTGAACCTAAGCTGTCCCGGAGAGACAGTGAAAGGTTGGAGGAGATCCAGTGACCCCAGAGAGGTTCGCAAAGTCCCTGGGGGATTGGAATTTAACCTCCTTTGCCAGTGACTTCTGGATTAGCCGCAAGCTAACCGAAACTGCAGGTTGCCCCTAAGAATGGCGTGTTTCCAGCTGGTAAGGTTATTTTATTACTCAGAGAGACACGGTCCGCATAAAAATTTAAGCTAATTGAAACCAAAGAACAGAAGAATTTAGCGGCGAATTGGATCTCTTTATGGGTTTATGGACGGTGGTTACCCTATTTTTTAAATGTTTTAAATGCTACTTACATGGACAAAGGAAAGATTACTTCAACAACTCCTTTGACTCTCTGTAAGTGGGCTGTAAACCAATTTACTGTAATTTGGCTCCCTACAACTTGACACTTTTATTGCTTGGCTGGGTTGGTCTAAGATCAGATAAGATTGTACAGCTCCCAGCTTGTTTTTACTTGCAAATACCTTAAAGCCTCTAAAGGGAAAATACTAACTGCGTACAAATATGGCGTCTGTTCAAGATTCAAATGATTCATTTCAAATGATTTTTTCTGCACTACAAAAGCTGTCTGACACGTACGACAGATTTGAAAGAAAACTGGATTACTTGCTGTTTTTAACATCAAAATATGAAGAAAAAAGTGAGAATGTTGAATGTTTGAATGTCCCTGAAATACAAACGGAGGATGTCAGAGATAAAGATTTTCAATCTGCTGATATTTCGGGCATCTGGTTTACCTCTGAGGGAGAAAAAGATGGAACGTTTGAAGGGGGGGCAGCTACACAGAAGATTTACTTCGAAAGACAGAGCGTAGGAGGAATGAGAAGCATTAAAGAATTTATACTTTATGAAATATCATTTGCAAAACTTTTGATACCATCACTGAGAATTAAAGACAAGCTGAAAAGTGCAATAAACGTAGGACAACGACATTATATGAGAGGCACTTTAAGCAAAATGGTGCAAAAATCTTCTTGTTTGGGCTTGCTCATAAAGACGTTTGGAGAACTTGATCCACGAATGGCAACAGGATTAAGGAGGTTTTGTTATTGGAGAGACACAGGCTGATAGATGGAAGAATACAATTCAAAATTAGCTAAACCTAATTAATTTTATTTGTAATAGACATAGTTGAATAATAATTGATAATGATAGTAATGTATATAATGTGGAGTTGATATGATAAATAATAATTGGACATGAGAAGGGAAGGTTAGAAATATTTTTGGACTATACAAAGGTTATTAATCACAATAATTATCACTATTAAAAAATAAAATAAAACTATATAGAGTTAAATGTTAATTAATATGGGAAAAATGATGATATATGATATAATTACATAAAGAAAGGAGAATGATAATAAACTATATACATGGAGGATGGAATTTTTGGTATTAAATATTATGGATGTTAGCTAAAACAGGATATGAGGATTTGATGTTAATGGAGAATTTTATAAACAAGTAAATGAAATGCTAGCATGTGGCTATGGATTAAATCTTTGGCATAGTTAAGGATGAAATATGTTTAAAAAACTGTAGTCAACTAAAAGTGGAGGTATGATGATGTCAATATGGTAAACATTTGAGTTAAGATATTTGAATTAATATGAATTAATGGAAGAGATGCACAAAAACATGTTGTAACCAGCTGATATACTTTTTTATAATATATACCTGTGTTCTTTTTTTTTTTTTCCTTTTTTTCCCCCTGCCTTGTTTTCTTTTTTTTGTCTTTTTTGTGTTTTGGTTCCTCCCTCCCCACTAGTGTGGGTATGTGTTGTTTATGTAACAAAATAAAAAAAAATTAATAATAAAAATATATATATAATTCCAATTTAGTTTATTAAAAGAACTATCCAGTTTTGGCTGTTTAAATAGGCCTGAACAATGTTTGCTTCCAAAGTCTGAATGTTATTACTACAGAAGCTGTCTGACGGGCAATTGCCCAACTGATAGCAATAACTCTTTCTTGTTCATCTGAATTTTTGCAGCAGTTACAAAGTTAACTATTAATTGGAATACATTCAACAGCGTCCATGTTTGATTCCGATTATCTGTATTAGAATATTGAATTTAATTTTTATCAAACACAATTACAATTTTATTAATTTTTAAGCTTTGCAAAAATGTTCTTCATAAAATATTGACTTTTTCGATAAATGTATACTTTTGTCACTTAAACATAAATATAAAATATACTAGTCTTTTACTGAACAATAACAAATTTAAAAAAAACATAAATGTCCACCAACAAGTACTTTTAACATTATCACAAAAATTATTGTTAAAAGCATTAAGGAGTATACAAATTTACATTGTATTGGCTTTTGAAAGATAACATTATATAAAGCAGCAGAATGAAAAGAACGTTGTAAAACCTGGAGTATAAAAACAAACCATTCCACCATGTTTATTTTTTCTTCCCTTTGGAAGGCTTAGCAAACAAAGCAGGATCAATTTGATCTCTGGCCAAACCTCTCACTGAAAAAAGTCGTTGTGCTCTTTCCTGTAAAGTACCTCCACATTTTAGTCCCAAGGCCAATAGTTCAAACTTTAGTTTGTCTAGTCCTATGGCTTCCAGTTCCGCAACAGAATTGAATTCCATCAGATTGACTCTTGCAGTATCCTAAGAATCAAAAACATGCAACATTTTAAATATATATCTCAGAAAAAGAAAGTGATCTTTTGAATATTAACTTAACTTAAATGTTAAGTGATTCTGCAATGTCCACTTCTGCAACAAGATAGCTTTGGGGGTTTGTATATGCCTTATCTTTTAAAAGTTTGTGAATTAGAATATTCCTGCATGTAGGGCTAAACTGCAAATACAATTCAGTTAATTCTTATACTGATAAATTAGTCAATTTATGTCTCCATTTTAGAGACTGGGGCAAAAAACATCCAGTGAGGAATGTATATGCTCAGCAGCTATAAAATATTGTCTGTTAAAGAAAATGAGAAGAGGGGGGTGGGATGAAGAGGAAATGGGGTTGTTTAAATTTTGAACCGTATTTCTTGTACTTTGATTTGGCTTTAATGCTATTTCTGTCTTTGATGTAATATTGTAAAGTGACATGGATAATGAAGTGGCCAAAATGGAATCAAGTTTTCAAAATGTACTATTTATAAAGATATCTAATGGATTCAGGAAGAAAAAGAATTACATATTTAATAAAAAAACAACCATACTTACTGCATGTTGAAGCTGACTTGCTTTTTCACTACATGAGGCATTTGTATGCTTTTCTTCTTTCAGAATCTGTGTTGTTTTATGTTTCTCATTGGCTTCAATCTTACTGAAAGTTGGATCTTCTAGATGATCTTTTTTAGCATTCTTTGTTTGATCTTCTGACTTCTCATCAGAGCCCGAACTGCAATTTCCAGACTCCTCTGAATTCCTGGGAAACTCATTTAAATTTTCATTCACACTGATATGGCTGCCAGATGATGTGGAGCATCTTTCTGACGTCCCAGGAGATTCATCTTCTTCATCGCTATTAGTCTCTGAACTGTTAGGATCGTCCAACCCTTCTATACCTAACCTGTCACATTTAAATGAATTTTAAAACATGAATATAATTTCTCTATTAAACAAAATCTGTGATATAAAAGAACAAATCCGCCTCATAATTATGGAAGAGGCAGACATTCCAAATACCAAAAATACATCTAAGTACAATAGTGGTAAACTTTTAAATTATGCAGAATTTTAAAATATTTTTGAAACAATCAGGATAAAGCATTCTGCCTGGCAAAAGAATGCCAAAAGACTTTCCAATAATTTCAATATTGATTTGAGAATTCCAATACTAAAAATGAGTGTAAGTTATTTTTTAACACAACTTAGCTTCTAGTTTCATTGCAATACATTACATCAACAGAATAATTAAATATACTAAACAGCTTTAGAGTAATTATTGCCTCAATTCCAATTCTCGCTGTTTGAGGAAGTTGCATAACATTCTCAGAGACTCCTCCCATCCTGCTTATAATCTTTTTAGACTGTTACCTTCTGACAGAAGATACAGAACAATTAAAACTATGACCATGTATCTTCTGAATAGCTTTTATCCCAGAATTATAATTGCACTCAACAAGGAACTAAAGGGTCACCATCAGTGAGTTATTGGACAGAACTACTTGGTCGTCTGTTGTGTGGATGTTTGGCTGGCTTTGGGGCGGGGAATTTTTTGGTGGGTGGGGGTGTGTTTGAGATTGTTATGTGTGTTGGGTCTGGTCTCTGAGAGTTATGTGAATTTCGTTGTATGTGTAACCTGTGTATATATGTACAATGAAAATAAAGTAAAGTAGTAAAGTAAAATAATAGCATCTGCTACAGTGGTGGGATGCAACCAGTTGAATAACCAGGTTCGCTAAGCGCACTTTGTGCATGCGTGTGTCTAATGTGTGCTTTGCGCACACAACACTCAAAAATCGGCCATTTTAAGCCTAAAAACTTGCCTTCTATGTCAGTGCTGGTAAGTAAAACAGCTGATGCACAGTACTCCACTGTGCTGCGTAAATCAGATGAGTTAAAAAACGGAAATATAGGCCAGGAAACAGCAGGGGTGGGTGGGTAGGGCCAACTACTAACTGGAACTACCAGTTCGTTAGAACCTGTGTGAACCAGTAGAATATCATCACTGATATGCTAGCAAGCAGAGGAAGCAAGAAAATCTCATTCCACAAGTAGATTACCATTTAGAATTTTTAAGGCAAGAGCCACCAACTTTAAAGGAAGCAACTCTTTTATTCTTCTCATTTTTATCACATGGTTATACTTCTTAAAACTGGGCGCTTACCATAAACACCTTTTCTTCTCTGATGGTGGTCCGGTTCCAGAATCAGTGGTCCCTTTTCGACTCTCACTGCTTTCTGGGGAAACCACTGTGCTGGAAGAAGCTTGCATACCTAAAAATAGTAAAAGCAATCAGACTTCAGCATGTTAAACGAAATGCAAACATTAAATCATTAAAACCAGGAATTTAAGGAAATTATGAACTTTTAATTTTTTGCTTCATTCCTCAAATGAAGCTTATCTGTCACTTCTATTTGCTTAATTTATTATTAATCATCTACACAGCTGACTGCATAATGCAAACATGATTGAGGGATGGAGAGTGGGTTTTCCATTATATTATTCAGGGAATCTGAATTTTCTAACAACTTCTTTTCAGTTAAAATCCAGTATCTATGAAGAATATCAGACTGGCCAAATTGCTTTAATATGGAAGCAGATGATACTGAAACAAGCAAGTAATCAAAGGCAAAGAAAACAAGAGGTCAGATCCTGAAAACAAAAGGAGAAAAATACAGAAGATATTCATTGTCTATGGTTATCTTATTCACATTTAATTAAAACATCTAAGGATCCAACAATCCAAAAGTGCAATGCAGGACAGAGTCTAAAACTACTTCAGCACTACCTTTCAGGACAGAATCTTCAAGTCTCTCTGCCATTTCATGGCACTGCTGCTGGTAATCTGGGTTAGTAAAAAAATGTTTTGGTTCCACCAATTTGCGCTTCAGTCTTTCTAAACGCCTTTGTTCCTTATCTGCTTCTCGTTCTGCTTGTTGTTTCACCCATTCAGCCATCCTGTAAGAAAGAAGCATCCATATTAAATGGGATCTATTTCAATGGGTGAATTCAACTATGTAGTCTAAAACAAAGAACCCAAGCAGTAAAGCACAATGAGTGAGATCATCTATCTTTGGAAAGTCCTTGCTGTTGAAGCTTGACAAATGACAATATGAATCCAATTTGGTGCCAGACTACTTATGAATGCATTGAAAAGAAATATGCAGGGTGCTTTTGCTCTGCATATTAATTCATTTTAATTCATTTCACTGTTATTTTTAATTTGATTTATTACAATTATTTTATTTTATAGTATTATCCTATTTAACTACACAAGTATGTATGTGGCATACGTAAAACTATGCCTCATATATATGGTAATATTTTCAGAAAAAGACAGGTTAAAGATTTTTGAAGAATCATTATTGCAAAAACAAAAATAACATATATTGTTCAATGTACACACAGAGAAACTTTTCTCTAAATGGTCTTGAAGAGTCAACACCATCTTCATGACACAACAACCAGAGATAATTGGGGAAAAAAATCATAGAAAGCAAGGAATAGCAAAGCCTAAAATAAACAAGGATATATAGAAAAATGATAAATATAATGCTGTTAGTTGAAAACAAGAACTGATGATATGAAAATTCATGTATCTGATATGATATGGATTTTAAACTTATACATATATAGTAAAAACAACAGGTAAATGAATGTTTAGTAATAGGAGAAATCAGGTGAAGAATTTTTAATACATGAAAATACTTTTTAACACTTTTAATACATGCAAATACAAATAGAAAGGATTGCATAGGGTATGTGAGCAATGAATGTCATTAAAAGTAAAAATGACAATATGTAAGAGTATGCTTCTGCTCATTCTGTTATGTAGAAGTGAAACGTGAGTATGTTAGGAGACATAAAAATAGGTTGAATGTAGTGGGAATGATGTGATAAGATAGGATCATAACAGAATAGCTGCTGAATAAATGTGGATTGAATACAAAAGTGAATGAGCAGTACAGAAGTACTTTAAATTGCTTTGGTCATAAGAGACAGAATAAATGAGAACTGAAAAGAAAATGAGAATATGAAGGAAAAGTGAATGAGTTGAAGAAAAGGGAAAATCATGAAAAGGAAAAAGTTGTGATTACATTAAGCTGAGATTCTCAAAAAGAAATCCAATATCACTGGTTAAAAGAACAAAATGTAATTCATGAAGCACTGTATTGTATCAATATGTTGAAAGCAATTATAGTCTGTAAGAACAGGGAGTTATGAAGCTGATTACAATACAGCAGGAGAGTTGGAAGGGCGCTTGGAGGTCTTCGAGTCCAACCCCCTGCCTCGGCAGGAAACCCTATACTGTTTCAGAAAAATGGCTATCCAACATCTTCTTAAAGACTTCCAGTATTGGGGCATTCACAACTTCTGGAGGCAAGCTGTTCCACTGATTAATTGTTCTGTCAGGAAATTTCTCCTCAGTTCTAAATTGCTTCTCTCCTTGATTAGTTTCCACCCATTGCTTCTTGTCCTGCCCTCTTTGGAGAATAGCTTGACTCCCTCTTCTTTGTGGCAACCCCTGAAATATTGGAACACTGCTATCATGTCCCCCCTAGTCCTTCTTTTCATTAAATTGGACATACCCAATTCCAGCAACAGTTCTTGGTTTGGTTAGGTTTAGTTTTATTGGACTGATATGCTGCCCTTCTCCCAAAGGCGGCGTACAACATAAAAACACATATGACAAAAATTAAAAAAGATTAAATAGGAAATCCAATAACCTTCAA